TTACAAAGAGGCACGCTTGTATGTGTCTTAGATTCTGTAGAGATATTTACTCGTGTGGTGGTGCTATACAATACGTGCAATCGGTTTTCTACTCATTACTATTCTGATTTGGTCAAGGTCGGAAATCTAGTTTTCTATTCAATTGTGTTTATTGGTCACTTGAAAATCGGCTTAATTAAATAACGTATCAAAATCATTGTGTGTATTTTCTTAAACAATTTCAGCAAATAGGCTATTTATTCCTTTTTTTTATATCGATTAGTAGTGCAATTAGGATCACATTTGAAGTCACTGTTATAAAATTTCTGGACATACCTTCACAATATATTTTTTTTATTTTGTGTGGAAGTAAATTGTAAAAATAAAAATTGTATTGTTATCTGTGATCACATTTATGTTGGCGAAATCTTTTTTTATCACTAATACATTTTTGTATGGAAAAAATGTAGAAAACAAGAAATTTTATAAATCATCCGAAATTTATCACAATTTAAAGTTCATGAAATCTGTTATGCCACAGCTCCTTTAAAAATCAGTAAGCTTATATAATTTTATCTTATATAAGTTTATTATATTTTATTTATATTATTATATTTATATTTTAGAATGTAAACGATAATAAAAAAATCATAATAACTGACATTATACGCCTAGATATTATATATACTGTATTAACACTCGCTACTCTTTTCATATTTAAAATATCTTAAAAAGCGACTAGGGGAGTAAAAACAATATTTTAGTATAAGACACGGAAAACTTTAAATAAAACCCTATACCAAATTGCTAGGCTAGTAATATAACATAATATATTATTAACATTTTATATAGAGATTCGGGCCCAACGGAGAACATAAATGGATTGTAGGACCTATATCAAATTAAAAATTGAGATTTAGTGAAACAACAATAAAACATAAAAGAAACAAATAGAAGAGTGGTTTAATTTAGGTAAGTATTTTTAGAGTAGGCTTGACAAATATCTAAAACATGTTAGGAATACAAAGTTGTTACCAAAAAAAAGTAAGCGGTCGCCAAAGACAGTGAAAAACAGCGCGGCAGTTGTTGTTGTTTGATTGCAGGTCGCTAAGTGATCACATATTTTACTTTGGCGTGTTTTTCATCCAGGGACAACTAACAGTATAAATACGTATACATTAGAGATAGATCTTCAGAATTTACGGTTTAGGCATGGATATTTGAGTAAAATAAATATGAACGAACGAATGAATTAAAATTTGTTATTGTTCTCTTCAAAGTAAGATATATTTTTTTATTTTTATGATGCTTAGAATGGTAAACAAGTTGATGGCCAACATGATGGAAAGTGGTAACCGTCGTCTAAGTAACGGTCTTTTTTAGGCCATTTTAGGGTGGAAGGGAATTCTTAAACTTGCATTTTGCCAAGCGTAATAATAGAAATACCTAATAAAAGCAAAAAATAAGGGAGTGTTACAAAGCAATAAAATTAATAATTATAAGAAATGCACGTAAACAATACGGATAATGTATTGTGTATCATTATCTCGAAATAGAGTCAAATAGAATTTATATAATATCGTGATAGTATAAGACTTTACAAAAATCATTGATATTAGTATTCGTGAATAATTAACCATGATTTATAGTATATATTTAAACTTATAGACATATTTACTTATGTATTTATTTATCAATTAATATTTTAATTACTTATTATGAGTTTCATTCTAAGCAAAATTTTTCTTTCCTTCATTTATTATCAGCTCATGCCAATCTTCTGCTGGATATATCAATGCAGTCCAAATCAATGCGGTACTCTGCTTGTTGTATCAATTTCCTTCCCGCTGTTTTCTGCTTCAGCTAATAGATTTGAGGGCTATATCAACGACTTTGGTTTTCCGTCTAATCTCTTCGTTTCGGATCTTATCCTTTAAAAAGATACCCAGCATACTTTCTCCGTCGCTCGTTGTGTGACTTTTAGTTTTTGGACAAGTTCTTGGAAAAATCTTGAGATAAAGATATGATAGAACTTCCAGAAAGCTGCCTAGCTAATTAGTTGCGTCTATTGATATCCCTGAGAAGTTATGGCAGTTTAACTGCATAGGTCGGTCGAGGTAGACGAAACTACTACCTGAGTTTCTTCTTGTTCAAGTTTATCTCCAGGCTTACGCATCTGGAAACAATATTGAGTTTGTATTCGAATTTTTATATTACAAATTATTTTTGAGCCCTTAGTTATGATTTAAATAGTATTGCATGATGTGAAACTATGGTAGTTTTTATGGTAACTGTTATTCAAAAGATTACGTATAGATGATAACAACCAAATTCAACAAAGTAAAAATTACACAAGACAAGGAAATTGATATTTTGTTTATAACTCTACCATTGCCAATATCATTCTGCTAAAAATAAAGAGATAATTACTAACAGGATATTAAATTACATGAGATAGAGTAACATAAGTAGGCTTACGTTTACTTTATATATTGATAATTTTTTTATCTTATTTCAGAAAATGTTCAAAAAGTTAAATCGCCTACTCGAAATTACGAATACATTTCATTAACTGAAAGTAAACTAACTGAAACGTGAATTTTACAGTTCAGTTTAATCACTTAACGGTTAAGGAAAATCGCAAGAATAAGGATAGGTATCTTACAATCATCTTCTGAGTTAAATATATCAAAATATTCTCGTATTACAGTAATGGGGTGATTTATTATTTTACGTACCTACCTATAAATAGAGAACTTTGATTTTGTAACTTAAAAAAGATGAATAATAAGCTTTAATATTTTATTTTGTTCATAAGTTTTATTTCAGATTACTATTTTATAAAACTTTTGATCATAGAAAACTCGTATAGGTACTAGTCATACATCGCGTTTCCACTGAATATACTTTGTGTAAGTTTTTATATTTAAATGTAAACTTATTTCTTTTTAAAAGGCCGTCAGCACATCTGCAGTTACTCCAGTGTTGCAGGTGCTCATAGGCAACGATAGTTATTTACCATCAGGTGAGCCGTATGCTCGTTTACCTGCTATGTTATAAAAAAAAACCTCTTTGAAACCATTTCATAATTATTAAAATATTATTATTAGAATTTTTATGTACGATCTTTACGTGTTGTGTGGTATAAGGAGGAAGCTGTTCTAACTCTTTTAACAATCATGTTATACTTTTATTGTATAAAATTTAAAAAAAATATAAATGCGAGGTTATACTCGCATTTAAGAATCCTACCTTTTGTAATAATTTGAAAAATGTACTCTCCAATAATATGATCCGGTATATTCTTAGTTACGCTACTGGTAGTTAGCAGTACATTCTGCACGGATAGCAGAGACATATAAGTTCTACGTCCACTGGATCGAGTTGTCGGAGAATAAATTTTTGAACCTATTTAACTTAGTACTACTCCACTTTTAGCACTAAATTGAAATACATTAATTTTGTTTTCAATTTCTTTATACCTTAACCTGTTTATATTTCGTCATTATCATTATAAATATTCATTATCCATATTTTAGTGAGAATTCAATATTAAATAAGTTTAAAATATTTGTTAGTAAAATTGAAATTCTAAATGTCAAAATGTATATGCTTATTACATTTAGCATCTTAATAACTTAGCATATCGTTATGAAATTTATTTAAAAATTTTAGTTTTAGAATGGACAAGTGTAAAAGCCGAATTTATCCCGGTCAATATCTGTTATGTAGCCGAAGTCGTGGGTAAAAACTAGTAAAATATAATTGGAAGTTTCCATTAAATATTGATAATGTAATAAATAAGATATAATGTCACTGGCGTGTGTAAGCGGTGAGCGGTGAGCGGGTGGAGTGAGCTCACAGCGTTCGCTCGAATCCCGTGGGACATTCTGTTGGTACGTTTGGGGACGTCTGGGACTCCGTCGCGTCGCGCAACGACACAACGCTTGTCGGTGCAATATTGAAAATATTTTACGCGCAATTTTCTCATGAACCACCCCTTCTTGGTGCATTTACCGCCCGCTGCGCTGCGTTGTTGTTGTAATTTCTAAAATTCATTAAATGTACCAACCGATTGCAGTTAGAAAAAATATTTTAATGAAAATAGGAATTTTGATAATAACAGTGAAAGAATATATCGAGACTTCATTTAATTTACAAGTACACTAATACAATAAAAGAAAAACAAAAAGCCATATTCTGAATCCGCATATTCATAACAGATTAATAATCTTACTCGTATCTGCAGAGAAACCTGAACCCAATAGTAGGATGTTAATGTGGACGTATGGTTTTCATAAATTAAACTATTTCTACCGAATCTCTTTTTCAGCTTTGCATTAACAAAAAGAAAAGCATCAGTTTTTCTTTTCGTCTTTCTTGTGTTTAAGGCCTTAGTTACGTGAACCTCAAGTGTTCTGTTCAATATTTGACAAACTTTCATGTTTGGTTTTTATTTAATACCTAATTTAAGACATCTATTAAATATGCTTAATAATAAGAATTAATGGTATCTTTAGTTAGTGTTTCGAACAGAGAAAGACTGGATAATTTGATAGTATAAAGAATATGAGTAGGATTAACTGCAAAATTTACTTTCATATAACAGGTTTAAGAGGATACAAAAACATAATAATTTAAGTATCAAAGTATCAACATCAAAATAAAAAAAATGTACGAAATTCGTAATAAGAAGATTTTCTATTTAAATGTTATGGAATTTCAATGAAAAGTAATGAATACATACCTAGAACCATTCATTAAGTGGGTACCTGGATCGTTAATTACGACTTTTTTATTTTCCTCAATGACAAAGGAACTGTCGGCGAAAAGAAAAGTAGACAAGTGTCGTGACACGCACCCCTGTACGAGGGGTGCGGGCGGTGTGCTCAGTCGACCAATGAGGGTTGCAGGCCGAGTGAGCGGTCGCGGCCATTGGCTTGTCATCGGGGGTGCGCGCCCCGCCCCGTCCTCGAGGTTCGCCCTTATTGAATTAGGCTTATCATTCGATTTCGAGTGGGGCGAGCGCGCGGTCCTCCGTGCCCGGCAAAAACTATCGCACGGATCCGATACCATCTGTAATCGGCATAATTCGATATAGTCGCGGCTCATCCAATTATGCGGTTGTGAGCCTTGGCGCTGCAGGCTTCGACAGAAGACGCACGCGCCCCGCGCGGCGCGGCGCTCGCCGCCCGCTTGTTTTGCTAAACAACCGCTGTTTTTGACAGAGCACATGTTAGGAAGTGAGCTGGTTAGATAGCCAAGGCACTTCGCAGCCATGGAGTATGGGTACTTGAGTGGGGCCGGTGGCGGGTTTGAGAGCGGCTGTCTGGGCTCCGGTGGCGGTGAACTGTCGTGGGGCGAGCTGGCGTCATGCGGTCAGATGTCGCAGGCCGCTTACCGGTACCAAGGCATGCGGTACCAGCCTCCACCACCACAGTGCGCGAGGCCTCAGGACGCGGCTATGAGGAATCATCATATTTTCCCTCCAGCTATGAATTTGCAACGTAAGTCATATTTTCAAAATTACACGGAAGTTACAAAAATAATATATTTGACTCTAGATTTTAACGATCGAAATCACATGATTTCTTCACCGTTCATTTTTTAAACTCACAGCATGATAGTATATCTACTTGTGTGTGATTTTTTTTATGCTGTATCTGTAATTTATAAACAGACAAACATAGACAGACTTGATATGTTAATATTGTTAACAGTTGTCATGTATATGTTTATAATTTATTTTATAAAGCAGATTTAACCAGAGGGAGACTTTGTACAAAAGTCGTTTACTTGGGAAACTCTGTCCCATTCGTGTTTCTACCGTGAAGCAGTTGTGTTTGCATGGCTGTGTTTTAGTTTGTAGGTTGAGTTATGGCAGTGAATTTACAGGATATAGAGGAATAACACCTGAGTCCTCACGAATAGCAACGGATGAGGGTTATCATGGGCGAAACAGTATACTCTGTTATGTCCACGGTATGTCTCATGTCTATAGGTGACGGTTATCACTTTCCATCAGGTAAGCTGTCAGTTTGTTTACCATGCTAAGTTGCATAAAAAAAAGTTCTATATAGTTCAGAAACATGCACGAGTAAAATAAAATAAATATGAAGTAGTAATTATTATATTAGTCATTGGCGTGAAGTTAGTTCTTATGCGAACTTTGAGGTAGGTAATAAATAGGTACAAAAGCCAACATTTCAATAATATTAATTAAATTATGTTTTTTAGTTGCATACTTATTATATTATTTCTTTCCTTCTTAACATATTATTTCTGTTTTTCTAGTTTTTTTATTATAGACGGCTGCTACGAGCCGGCGGGCGTAGCGTCGTAGCGTGGCTACGCTCGTCGCAAAAAACTTGAAATATTCATGATTATTGTTTGTAATATTATAACGGTGCGTTGCCTGTTAATATAAATAAAATAGCTGATGCCATTTACAAAATGTTATGCGCGGAATAGGATTTGAATATAATTAATTTTTAGAAATCATTTAATGGTTAAATGGTTGTTTATTAAATATATTAATATGTTTTCTTTAATTTTTCGGTAGATACTATTTATTCAAAATAGTTTATTAAATAATTATATAATAATTATATACTTATTTAATAAACTTATACTTATATAATAATTAATTGCATATTAATAACTTTTATTAAGGTAGGTATAGTTATATACACATATTTATCCGCCTATTCTTTTAGGTTTATTTATTGCATTTTCTGCTTTTGAGCTGTTTGTTTTATTGGTTTACGTACACGTAATCTTAAATTATATAGCCTTTTTAGGGATATGATATTTATGCTTTTAGGTAATATATAGGTATGTATTGTTGTTAATTCGATCGGTTTAATTTTGGAAGCAATTAATCTTGCTGCAGATACATATTATAGGTGCCTACCTACTCGTGCTGCTCATAGTTATGAAACTTTAATATTTATAATATTCAAAAAGAGTAGGAGTTCATATGTTTCCTCCTGAGATTTTGCCAACTTAAAATTTGAATGAGATGCTAAGTTCTTTATAACGCAGAACAATGTATAACGGTAGGTATACTAACTTTTTACTTGCTACTTCACATGCGTGGATTTAGAAGTAGAAAACCTCATGAAATATATTACTTTTAGATATAGATATAACTATAAAGTTGAAACGCACTGTAGATTTTAAGTTAGATCTTAAGGAATACAAATGTGGAAGACGCAGTTAATTTGGTGCAGTAGTTTTTGTGTGATATCGGAACAACCACACAGACAGACAGACAAATAAAAAGAAATTTAAAATTATTTTTAGAAGCTTATATTGCTCTTATTAAAGCTCCTCACAATTTTTTTAATTAAATATGTCCCATATACAGACATCGTCTAGTTACAGTTTCATTTTAAAAGTATGGAGTAAGATGTGCAAGTGTGTTTGTTTGTTATCTCTTAACCCCTTAACAGCTTAACCAATCACTATGATATTTAGTATACACTATGTGGGATGAAGAAAGACATTGGCTACTTTTTATTTGGATCATATATCGCGGGCAGGGAAACAAAGATGCGGGTAAAAGATAGTAGCATATATATTTTAAATACCCTAAGGGAACTTAACACGATGAGATTTTTTTTGCAGATAAGTAGTACCTAGATACTTGCTTCTTTATTGCCGATGTTTCGACTCGGATTGTACCACGTAGTGCTCATGATAAGACCACAAAAAAAATTAGTTTCATATAGTTTATATCGAAATATACGAGTATGACATTTTTTTTAAATATTATTTTAAGGGCTTTTACCTTCTTCAGGTATATTAGTCCTATCGTACTCTGAACTGATTTCTCAAACAAAACTTTATCTACTTTCCCTAGACGCGGAAAGAGAAGAATTAATGCGCATCAATAATTTACAGAGATGTTCAAAAATTTCTGGTTTCTGGTTCGTTCAGCTAACATAGATTGAATAAGACCAACATTAAATTTTAGTTAAAGTGGCGCATAAAACTCATCAATAATAATAATTTTGAATAACAGTATAGGTACTTAAATTTATTTAAAAAGGAGTAACTACCAATCATTTTTTAAGTTTATCTCGACAGATATCTTTTAAATTTAGCGACAGAATTATAAAATGTATATTTAAAAAAATAAATTTCAACTATCCAGTGAGAATAATTTTCGTTTCCAGCCTATTTGATTTGATTCTATATATATTTTTATGTTTGTAATGATTTATAACTCTATCAGTTATGTAAACAGATTTGGATATTTATTATTAAAATGATTGGTTTCATAGAAATTTTATGAAAATTAGTTCAGTAGTTTAAATTTTAAGTCAAAATGATGGGTTTTGTCACAATTGAAGTCGGTTTTTTATTTGGAACACAATTTTAAATTATCATTATATATTCTTCTCTATTATTTGTTTTTTTTTTTATTTCAATTTGTATAATATGACAACTGTAAATTTATTTAGAATTTAAATGAGTGAGGTTTTATTTTTAGCTATTTTTGTTAAATAACATAAAAACCTCTTGAACAAAATAACTATTTAAATTTCATTATGAATGAAATGTAATGTTGAAGAGTTGAAACTTAATTTAAACTTTTTATTTATTTATTTAACTGTTTATTGCACTAGAAATATAAAAATACACTATGACATATAATTAAACAATTCATGTGAAATAAATAGTAACATGAAATACAGATTAAAATTAACATATAACTGTAAAAAAGGCGGTCTTATCACCAAAGATAAGTTTATAAGAGATTGCCCTGATTTAATTTAGTTTTTATCACAAATAAAAAAAAGCTACATTTTAATAAGGTAGCTGTAGATAAATACAGTGTTTACAGATAATTGATATAAGTGCCATACAAGTTTGCTTTAATAAAAATTGGGTTCACTTATGACGAAGCTGTGAAAGCAGTTTATCATCATCATCATCATCTTTGATCTCTATCGTTGCTTTATTGGTATTACAGTATATTATCATGTATGTATATTTATATTTGTATGTATGTTTTTATGATATATATTTAAATTACATAGATCATAATTTATAGTAGTTCTCTATTGTAAGTCAATATGGATATGTCTGTAACTGTTAATCTACAATAATTTATTTTTTTTAATAATTGCATGTTTTTTCAAAGATTGACTGCTAGAGAATTTTATATAGCATTAAGTCCGCCTTTTGTGCCGAACATTTTTTGTAATATGGTCAATAAAGAATAAATACATAATAATGTAAATTACTTTAAACATTACATTAATTCAAATAAAATTAATGAAAATATTAATTAATTCGTTTGAGTTACAACATACTCCGAAATTCAAACGGAAATTCTAATACCAATTAATGGAATTTAAAAAGTTAACATCCCATATCAGAAGCGGGCAGAAGGGATTCAACTTAGTCGCTCTTAATTATATCTTTAAGGTATTTCTAGAAAGTAGAGTTAAGCATATATACCAAAATAACAATGGTGTTTAGGTAATCTAAAGAAGAGAGAGTATAATAGAACAATTATTAGAACAGAACGAGAATGGTTCTGTTGTTTGCCAGAATATTTATTTATTTTTGTTTTCTGCTTTGCGGTGTTAATTCATGGATACATTATTGTTTTATTATGTTATGTCCATGGTACTGCTCACGTCTATAGGCGACGGTTACCGCTTTCCATCAGGTGGGCTGTCAGCTTGTTTGCCATTCTAAGTTGTATAAAAAAAGTTGGATAAGTATGGCAACCTTCACTCAATGACAATACTTTCTAATTTCGTTTTATGAGATGCAAATAATTATAATAAATAAATTTAGTACAGTTACCGTTATGGTTTTTAATATCTAAAAGCTACATAATATAATACTACTCTACTCTGTTTTAAATGTTATGGATTCTTGGATGGATTCAAACATTTTTAGTTGTAAGTATAAGTCAAAATAACAGTTAGATTTTACATTGTAGTGTTTACATAAAGTAGGAATATTTTTTTTAAATAACTAGATATTAATTTAGATGACTTTAGCGTTAAGTACCAACTTATCAATGTTTAATGTAAAATATTAGTTCTTTTAAAAAGTTTAGGTTACGGTTAAGGAACGTCAATATTATAGGTACTCTTAATATAATTTATGATGTGGAAATGAAAGCGATTTCATAAAAGTGACAAATAGAATAGCATTAAATTTTTAATAATATCAAACTAGAATTTCAATAATAGAGTTAAAAAACATGGGGAATCAAAAAAATGAAATGAAAAAAGTGGAAATAACTATAGGAAACTTTATCTCCATTACGATCTTTTCCGTAATGCCAAAGTGAAATCGTTTTCATTTGGTGCACAAGTGTAGGAAGTGGAACTTGGGACAACGATCACCAAACAAAGACTAGACGTGTGCTGGGCGGGGCGGGTGCAAGCGGGGTCGCGAGGGGTGTTCTAGCCGCGTGAACGATTGCGCTCCTAATTGGCAGTGGCGTCCGCGAGAATCTTAAGGGGAGGACAACGAA